AGCAGCTCGGCTCGCAGACGTCCTCTGTCTGTCCAACAGCGTGGGAGAAGCAGTGATTGTTAAGGTGGAACTGCTTCAATTGATTGATTCATTGTTTAAGAGGAAAATAATCCAACACAAAGACTTGTTCCAGCGTCTGTGAGGATTTGATGTTGATTTGTAACATGATAAATAAAATGACATTTCATGGTTTAGTTGAGGCTGAAATAAAGTATAAGTTTCTCTGTTTGAAGAGACGAGCTTTAAGGCTTGATAATGAAAATAATGTGTTTTTAAAGGTCAATGCTTGTTGGATGAAAGCTGCCAAACAACAGTCAGGGATATTTACTGACTGTGGAACAGCAGTCTGAGTGAATGAATGAATGAATGAATCTTTGACTCCTGAATAAAGAACACTTGAGGAAAATAGTTAAAAACAACAAACTTTATCATCAAACGTCATTTAGTTTTATTATTCAAAAAGTTTTAAAAGAGAAGTTAAAGTCTGACACCGCTGTGAACTACAGTGTTTTCAGTCAGATAGTCTCCATTCACAGACTGAGCTGCTCCTGTTAGCAGTTATTTTTGTATAATTTATTAAAAATAGGAGGCAACTTGTTCCAGTGAGTAGGTAAAGTGAGGTAAATGTGATGTCTACATCTTCACAACTAGAAACAAGGAAGTGAGTTTTGTGCAGGAAACAATGTTCGGTACTCAACTCACTGCATCTCTCAGACAGAAATATAAATATATATATTCTATATATCTTCATCTAACTATTGAATCCTTTTCTGTTTCTGAGGTATAAACTGTAAAAGTGAAAATAAAACCCATATCTCACCATCTGTATCTGTCTCACCTCCTTCATGTTTCCGACACAATGACTCATCTTCCGGCCGCCGCGTCTGCGTGCTGACACCGTCCACAGATAAACACTTCCTCCATTCAGAGTGATCGAGGTCCGAGTCTGTACTGCAGTCAGCCACCAGGCTGGACTGGAGGGGGCTGGACTGGAGGGGTCTGGGCTGGTGGTCTGGACTGGTAGGGGTCTGGACTGGAGGGGTCTGGACTGGTAGGGGTCTGGACTGGAGGGGTCTGGGCTGGAGGGGAATATCGCCGGATAATATCGGCCCGCCAATAAAATCTGTCGCTCTAATTATCTATTCAACATGAAACAGACTGTACCGTATTCTACAGTCTCACATGTATGACTCTTTAAAAAAAAAAAGCCTCTTGGACGCGTGCCCCCAAAAACCCAACAGGAAGCCATTTAACAAACTCCTCGTAAGAACTGATCTGCTGTGTTCCTAAAGACGCATGTGGCTCAGCCGCCAGGACTCCATCATCTGATAATGAATCGCGCCCTGAACACATCGACATGCCGATATTCTGTCACCGCCCCCTACTGGCAACAGAAGTGAGCCTTGGTTGACATCAGACCACCAAGCCCAGACCCCACCAGCCCAGA